CTGAAATCCAAGTCGGCTGAAAGTGTAGTTCAAGCATTTAGAAAGATTTTGAAAAAGGGAAGGAAACCTGAAAGATTTCAGACAGATCACGGAAAAGAGTTTTTGAATCGCCCTTTCAAGGCTTTGCTAAAGGAGAATAATATCACTTTCTTTGCGACGRAGTYGGATACCAAAGCGAGTTTGGCTGAGAGGGCAATTCGTTCTTTGAAAGCGTTGATGTATCGTTACATGACCTATAAGGGAACCCTAAAGTATGTGAATGTTCTCCAAGACATTGTCGAGGGGTATAACRATCGATATCACTCTAGCATCAAAACCAAACCTCGTTTAGTCAATCGAGAAAACGAAGATCACATATGGCATGTGCTTTATGATCGTGATTTAATAGATGGTAAGACGAAGTTTGCGTTCCATRTAGGAGATAAGGTTAGGATTTCTAAAGCGAGAAGAACGTTCGATAAAGGCTACCTTCCTCAGTACACCGATGAGATTTTCACGATTTCTAAACGTATTGCTCGCACACCGCCTGTGTATAAGTTAAAAGAAGCCAATGGAGATGAGATCATTGGTTCGTTTTACGAATTTGAACTCGCAAAGGTTATTAAGGATGACGATGTGTATGAAATAGACAAGATCTTGAAAACGAGAGGGCGGGGTGCTAAGAAGGAAATTCTTGTGTCTTGGAAAGGTTATCCAGCGAGCTACGATTCATGGATACTAGCAAATCWAATCGAGAACAAGAAAGTATAAATAGAGTCGTTTTTCAAAGAAAATCTTTTAATTATCGTTTTACCTTGGACATGRATGAACAACAGTTTTACATCTTACTCCCCTCGAATGCTTCATTGGATGTTTTTGAGGATAATACCTTAACGAGTTACAGGGTGCATCTTCCAGAACTCGTACAACTGAGAGGAGAGTATGAAGTAGGTCTCCAGAGCATATTATGGCCACACACTTTTTATAATGTACCACAAGAAGTGACACGCATTGAGTATAAAAACAAAAATGATTTTTCGGATACGATACTCATAGAAGCTGGTTATTATGATACGATATCTGACCTACTGCAGGTTGTCAACGACAAGTTTAGAGTTCAAGTAAACTCCAACATTGAGTTAACGTATAACAATACCTCAGAAAAAGTACGCGTATCCTTACGTGAAGGTTACAAGTTAGTTTTGGAAAAACAGTTGTCACAAATATTAGGATTTGGAGGTGGAAAGATTATGATTACACAGTCCGTAGTAGCACCGTATGTGAATRATCTCAGTGCGGGATTTCATTGTATTTACGTTTATGTGGATATTGCAGGATATCAGATGGTGRGAGATAAAAAGGCCAGGTTACTGAAAGTCATACCGGTAGAGGGAAAACACRGGGAAATTATCTACAAATCTTTTGACAACCCCACATATATTTCAGTAGAAACAAAGGAATTTGAGAAGATCAAGATTGATTTAAGGGATGACGCAGGCAGGAAGATATCATTTGAACGAGRGAGAGTAGTTTGCAACCTACATTTTAGGGTAAAGCAGTTACCTTAYWTGGCCTAAGAAAGAAAAAAGAAAATGAACCAAAGACATACCTCATCTCCTGAAGCTTACAAGCTTTACTATCTCAACCAAGCACAGCAAAGMGGCGCGGGAGCGTCTTCGCCTTTTTTTGCAGGAAAACTTTTTCAGAGAGGCTACGGACATGTGCAAAGGGGTGGGGGTTTAGGAAATTTTTTTGGTAGTTTATTCAGACGTGCTCTTCCTTTTCTCAAGAGTGCGAGTAAACATGTAGGTGAAGCAGCACTAAAAACGGGAGCCAACGTGATAAATGATACGTTATCTRGAAACGACCTCAAGACATCACTACAAAACAGRATTCGTGAAACGGGAACGGTATTGAAGGAGGAGGCTGCTAATAAACTAAAGAATGCATTAAACTCCCAAACCGGCTCAGGTAGAAAACGACGAAAACGAAAAGCCACGCCTTTGAACAAACAAAAGAAACGTAAGACTGCGAAACAAARACAGGGAAAGACAAAATATATAAAACCCAAGAAGAAGAATCAGTTGCTCACTTTAAGGAAGAGTGGTAAACGCGTAACATTTCAAGATATTTTTGGCTCCGCTCGGTAGTTTAAAAAACAAACATGTCTCTTATTCACCCAAAATCATATGAGTGCACCATTGATGAACTGGACCTTTTTACCATAAGTCCTACACAAAACAGCGTTTTAAAGAAAGCTGATGTGGAATTTCGACCCCTTTCTACGTTRAACAGTAATACACCTATAGAATTCAGTGTACCAGGAAATGAAGACTACATACACTTACCACACACCCAGCTTTATGTTGAGGGTACTATAAAGCATAAGGATGGCACTGCCTTGGAGGCGAACGAAAGGGTTGCACCAGTAAACAACTTTCTTCATAGTCTGTGGAAACAGATCGATGTATTTTTTGGTTCGACACAAGTTTCTAATCCTACGAATACTCAATCTTACAAAGCCTACCTCGAAACCGTACTTAACTTCGGCACAGGGGCGAAAGGATCTCAACTTCAAACGAGCATGTGGTATGAGGATACAGCAGGATCTTTTGATGATACCCGAGTCGCAGCTGAAGGAACAAACAAGGGTTTTAAGAAAAGAAATGACCTGATCAAAGAATCCACTGARTTTGAAATGATAGCCCCCCTATTTGTCGATGCCTTTACGATTCGTAAATACCTTCTAAGTTTTGTGGACATGAAAGTAAGACTCATTCCAAACAGTTCCGAATTTTGCCTTATGTCTGGAGCAACAGGCAAGGAATATGTGATTAGCCTAACCTCGGCCGTATTGAAAGTTCGTAAGATGAAAATAGCCCCTCACATCATCATGGCGCACGAAGCAGCCCTCATGAAATCTCCTGCCTGTTATACTATTCGTAGGACTGAATGTAAAGCTTTTACCATTCCAGGTACTACCCCTTCGATCAATAAGGATAACGTGTTTAATGGTCAAATTMCTAAACGACTTGTTGTTGGATTGGTAAGAGCTTCTGCAGTCAATGGACACTTGAAACAAAATCCTTTCGAGTTTAAGTTGTTTGGGATGTCTTCGATTGGTGTATATATCGACAATGAACACGCTGGAGGAAAACCGATGAAGCTAAAATTAACAGCAAGCGGGGGCCAMTTCATTGAAGCATATCAAACTCTTTTTACGGGAACGGGAAAATTTCGTCTAGACAATGGAAACTCTATTACWAGATCAGATTACTATCAAGGGTATGGTCTATTTGTCTTTGACCTCACGCCCGATGGATGTGACTCCCCCGAACTCTTGACTTTAAGACAAAAAGGAAACCTAACTTTAGAAATCGTATTCGATACGGCACTGACTGAAGCTATAAATTTGTTTTGCTATGCAGAATTCGATAACATAATAGAGATCGATCGCCAAAGAAACGTATTGTACGATTTCACGTCTTAGAAATGAATACCTTGGAAATCACGAACGTTATGGAACAGGATATGAGAAGTAGAGACAAGTTTTGTGGAGTGTTTTCTTCAGATACGCTTCCAGAAGTCATTGAAAAATATCCATGCGGACTAATCGTGAACACAGATCCAAGCACTGAGATAGGAAGTCACTGGGTTGCAATGTATTTCCCTAATGAAATCGTTTCAGAATTCTTCGATTCATTTGGAAAGCAACCCTCATTTTACCATAGAGAATTCAAAACATTTTTAGAGAATCATAGTGCTGCATGGAAATATAACCCTCGCACGCTTCAAGGAACTTGTTATACAACGTGTGGACAATTTTCCATCTATTTTATTATGCAGCGTAACCGTGGGAAGTCATTAGAGATGATAGTAAATTCCTTCAGTAAAAACAAATTCGTAAACGATAATCGTGTAATTGCTTTCATTAACAGGCATATGCTTTTTAAGAAAAACAGTAATAAAACCAAAAAAAAGGATAAAAGACTTCAAGTAGCCACATCTCATATAAACAATGTAATCAAGCGTAAAAAAGTAAAAAAAAATTTTAAAAAAAAAAAAAAAAAAAAAAAAAAGCTTTATTTTGAACAATAAAATGAAAAAAATGTGTTACAACAGTTTTGTTTTTTAGTATTTTATCCAGTTGTTCGATAATCTTTTTTCTTTCTTTCGCCTTGCTTTAGGACTTTTCTTAGGTAGACTTGTCGGTGTTGTAGGAGGGGTGGGAGGAAAAGAATAAGGRGAGGGTTCCTGTACAGGTGTGGATGGAGAGGCTGTTTGTTTAAACTTTAACGCATGACTACGTCTTTTCTCGTTCCGGATAAGATATTGAGGCATATTTATGTCGGCCATGGATTCTGTAAATTGTTCCCACCCCTTTGGATTAAARTTTTGTCGTGCTCTCAAYTGATCATTTACCAAATCCACGATATTAGATCCTTTGATGACTTGATTATCAATGYGTACTTCTCCTTTATCATCCCAAGAAATTTTATCAGGGTTGACTTTAAGTCTATTGAGCATAGTCTTTCCAAGGTTTTTTGAATTCTTGGGTACTGCTTCCACGATTTCCTGCACAGCCATAGGGGTTACTWCAAGAACAGACTGGTCCGCGTCTTGCTGCTCTGKCTGCACAGCAACGCTTCCATTGCTAGAGGTCTTTGGAGTAGAAGGAGGTTCTTCGTCCTCTTTATGGATTCTTACCGTAGGTATATGCTGGCGTTTTTGCTCTTGAACCTCGAGATATCGTTGCAAGTTTTGATTGTATTGTTGAACTTTAGCATCAATGCTCTTTGCAGAATCGCCCAAAATTCCCTCCATTTTTTTATCAAGACGTATCAAAGACTTGGTTTCAGGGGCAGTTTGTTGATTCKCTTTACGTTCTAACAAGTCCATGAACTCTTCTGSCACAAGAACCATGCGTTTAGCAAACTTCATTTTGACGCTAACAAGGTGGCGAGTGTTGAGATMACGGGCGGARTTAGAGAAAGTAGAAGAGATCCACCGTTTTGCACGACAAAGCGTTTCTTTTCACTTAAAGGTACTTTTTTGTCAGCCAAAGCWCTCAGTCGTTTTCGGAATCGATGCAGTCGAGATTTTTGAGCAGGAGTTAACTTGACGACACCWTTTAACACATTGACAGCCAACTCACRAATGGTGAGGATAAGGTCTTTGTTACAGTGTTCAAGCAAATACTTTCTTTGTTTTGAATTACACTTTGTCAAAACGGTCAAAAAGTCAAGATTACGTCTTACACGCTCAGACWTGATGAACAAAATGAAAAAAATATAGTGTCACCTAGTAAATTTATCTACGCATAATATAAGCAAWGTRACGYTCCCCTGGAAATATGTTGRTCCGTAACCTAAGGTCTTCGGGTGTGGAAGGATGCATGTCGAATATGAGATATCCAAACCTTGGTTTAACAGCGTCCTCGAAGCTTTCTAGTGCATAGTCTCTTCCCCTTTTTCCTGAAAAAGCTTGGCGGATAAAATTCGAAATCCCTAAAGAATCCCTTGGGTTCTTAAAAGCAAAAACGTAATGACAATTTAACGATATAGTTCGAGAAAATTTGCCTGGAGGAAATAGATTTTGACAAATGTACAGGACAGTGATATTTTTGTGGTGAGAATATACTGTTACGATGTCCAAGAAGCGTTGATCATTAGCACAACTTGCCATGAGGTCATCCACAACTAAGATCCCATTCTTGCCCTCAAACAGGTCTAAGATGTCATCTGTTATCCCTTCCTTGAAAACAATGTTGG